GCCTGCCAGCACTGTCAACATTCCAGGCTTTCAGGTCCTACAAGAACAGTCAGTTATTATGCTCTGTGTAATGCTTTCCCTGACTTTTGCCATCTAAAGTCTCAATATCTTCAAAATTCTTCCAAAGTCCATACTTCCAAGTCCATTGCAGCAACAAAATCACTTTTGAGGTACCATTTTCTATTCCTACTTTCATCTCTGTTGTTGTGATTAAATTATCTAACCAAAAGGAACTCTGAAAATGAACAGGTTTATTTGGTTGTTACCCCTAATTCAGAGTCCACCACTGTGGGAGTTTAGGATCGAAACTCAAGTTAGTCACCGAAGGCAAAACTGGCAGAACCATTGTTACCTGATTTTCTCTTTTGCCTTGTCACTGTTTTATGCTCAGCTAACTCTCTTAATCATCCCAGGCCCACTTGCTTAGAGACATTGCCAACTAGTGGAAGATCTTCCAACATCAATTGTCAATCAACACAATGACTTTCAGAAAGAAATCAGACATTCTGATCTAAGCACATGCTTATTTGATGTTCCCTCAGATGAACCTTGTCTCTATCATGTTGAGAGCTGAGGCTAATCAGCACAGAGACACAATAATATATGAGAAGGTTTTAGAGAACCAAAGACAATGTATTAATCTTGTCAATGAGCTAAGCAGCAAAGACTCAAACATGAAGATAGCAACAACTAGAAAGCACAGACATACCAAGAAAGGGAAAGGGATAAGCATCTAAGCTCATGAAGAGAAAACTAAAACTACTCATCCCACAAACTATTATAAATGAACAATTAGGGATAAAATAGCATAAGCAATATTCTGAATACAAATTGGTGATGGTCTATAATTTTTAAAAAAAATGAATGATGTAATAAGATTATGGTTCAAAAAGTCAAAAATATAGATGGCACCATTATAGAACAAGACACAACCACAGATCTACAAATATATATTATGGTCTGTTAAACAAGAACTACAAGATACTCATCAAAATCAAACGCCAAGAAATCACTGGCATTCTATACACTCCAGTTCTCTCCTTTACCAATGATAGAAAATGGGTTGGGTGAGTAACGCTGTTCTAAAAAATTCAGAAGCTTCACTTGAATTCTTCTGATGTTTTTACTTTGTAGAAAATAGTTTTGATTATTAAAACATCTCATTCTTCTATGATAAGAAAATAATGTGTCTTAGGATAACTTAGATAACATTTTGTTACCTACCAGTGGTGACTGAATCCAAGTCTGCATCACAGTGAAGAAATGAAAACTTTTTAAAAGAAATTTCAAAAGAACGGATTTTTGAAGAGTCAGGGTACATGTAAAGCAACTTGCTTTGCTCCGACTTTATAAGTCACAGGCACCTTTGAAAACAAAGTTACTGCTATTTCTTGTGTATGTTTGTGTATGAGAGAGAATGTCTTGCATATGTATACAGGTGACATACAGAAAAGGAGGTTGTCAGATCTGCTGGATTGGGAATAGTAGAGATTTGTTAACCTCCCATCTTGAGTGTAACTATCTGATCTCAGATCACCCACAAAAAGATTATGTGCTGAGCCACCTGCCTAGACACATAAAACCTTCTATCCAATAAGTCAAGTCTATCTAAGATTAATAAAAACAAATCATAAATAAATAAAGAAGTAAAGAAATGATCCTTAGGAAGATGATGCATCAAAATTAAGATTTTAGTAGCAAAGATTCAAATACGAAGATAGAAACAACTGGAACACACAAATATGCCAATAAATGGACAGAGGCAGACATCTAAGATTAAAAAAAAATGAGTCTCTCCACAGAAACTGTACCAAAAACAAAACTTAAGAAACTGATCACACACACAAAAAAACATTCACCAGAAGAAAAAGGAACCAAAAAAAAAGAAAGAAAAGAAACTGGTCATACAAGAGATATTCTGAATAAAATTTGTGAATTTCTACCATTTTAAAGAAAATGAATAAATTGCAGTCATACATTACAGAAAAAACATTCATATAATATGACTTTACTTTCCACAAATGCACATCAATCCAAAATGTATACAAAATTTGTGAAAGAATCAAGGGGTTGGAGAAGCAAAGAACAAAAGCAATGAAATATTGTCAAGTTTAAATCAAAATGCCAAAGAAAACTTAGGTAAGGAAAAATGTGAACTTGACCAATGTTACCCAGCTATCTTAGATAATAAGTGAACAGAAATTAAATAATCAGAAACTTCACATCTTTCACAAAGTTTTTTCAAAGTGATCCTTAAACTGATATTTCTGACTCCCCAACTCACTGATGTCTTCCAAGAAATAGAAGCCTCATGATACAGATGCTGTCTTTCAAATGGAGGAGATTTCTTTCAATGACTCTCCAGCCTATCATGCGCTCTTCTGGTTTCTGGAAAATGCAGCCCCACTGATGAGCAATCACAAAACAAGCATAAAATTATTTAAAATTTGCTTCCTGCTACATGGAATATGGCAGGAAATGTGGATTGTGGCCTATCTACCTGTCTAACACAATGCACACCTGAGAAGTCTCTGCACATCAGAAACTCCTTTTTTCTTCTGGAACTAAGCTTCACTGTATGACATCATTGTGGCTAGCAGCAACAGCACATTAAAAGCCTTCTAAACATGTATTGCTGTAAGAAGTTTGATATCATCATTTTCCTACCAGTTACCAAACTTTTTAAAACCTTTATAACACAAACCTGAAATTAGAATTAGATATTAAAAACTTCTGGAATCTAGACATTCAGTTTTCTAACCTCCCTTCCCACTGAACAACAAAATCAGTGCCCATGTGGATACTCTGGAGAGTGATACAACCAGCATCATAGTCTCCATTTCCAGGGCTCCAGAGTTTCCCTTTACCCTGCAAATCTCTACAAAAGGAGGCTCAGAGAAGAAGGACCCCTGCCAACATGAACCACATGGACCAACATGACTATAGTCTGGTCCATCCAAGTCACAGCAGAAATGACAGTTCAATAGGCCTGCTCTGAACACCTTCCATGCAACATGGTATAGCTTTTTGTCTTCCTACAACAGAGGCAGAAGAGAAACATGGAAACCCACTAACCTGCCACTAGTACTCCTGATTGCTAACCCTTCCCAGAATCCCTAATTAGCTAGGGTCACCTAGCTAGGCCTCAGGATATTAGCAGCTCCCCTACAAGATGATTAGAGATTAAAAGACTCAGACAGCACAGGCTTTTCAGTTCTGCCCTCCCAGACTAGCAGGCAGTTCCCTAGTCCACTTTGTAATTAGTACACATGATTCCACTCTCCTAGAGCACATGCTGTTCCTCATCCAAAGCACAAGGTCCATGTGTGCACATTCCATTGCACACTCACTTTCCAGTGCAGCCATCCCATTGCCTCAGAGATAGGAAATCCTGCAGACAAACAGGTCACATTCATAAAGTACCTACTGTTACTGTGTAACTATGGTTACTTTGTAATTGTTGTTAAAGAAAGACAGACCTTGAATTATAAAACAATCCAGGCATATTAGGGCTTGGAGGCAGCAAGGAGAATGCAAATACGATGTAGTTGTCATCTCTAAAACTATTTTGGAAACTTGAGACAGACTTTATGGTCATGTACTCCAGAGACTAGGGATTTGTATTCGACCACATTAAAAATTTCTCATGTATTTTCTCGAAAGATCAAAGTCTTAATGCAGAAAAGTTCTGTTAAGTATGGGGCACAACATTTTACCCAGATCTTCTATTTTAGATGAACTACTGTACATATAGCAATTAGGTTTAAAGATAAGGTCAGTTCCTTTCCCAGATTCCTTGTTGCGCTGGTCTGTGGACTGCAAACAATGGTCAATCAGGACATTCATAGTGCATCTACAATTGACTACCTGATTCCACATAGTTAACCTTAACTACTTATGAAGAGGGGGAAAGCTTTTACCCTCAGTCCAGCCTCTCCTTTTCTGCTTGTTGTCTCCACCAGCTTCAATAAACTCTTCCACTTATTGTGGTCTGAAAACAGAAGGAATGCTCCATATGCAAATCCTTTCCCTGCAACTGTATTGCATAGTCAACTGCATGACTTAAATGCATAATTTTAAAACTGTGAGGTGGTAATACCATTTTTTAAAGGAATTTTGAAAGTGTAATGTACAGGAAAGCAAGCTCATTTCCCTGGACAGCAGCAGACCAAGGCCACCTGAGTCAACATAAGAGAACTTGTCTCAGAAACTATTTTTCTAACAGGATGGAAATGCAGCTGTTCAAGAATTAATATACTTTTCCAATGAGAAATCACTTCACACACTTAGCGTGCCAACCTGTAATGCCTCCTTGAAAGGCTTGATAGAGGTTGTTCTTTGATATGGGGATGTGCCTGGTGTCTGGTTTTAAATCAGTGGTGGCTTCTTTGTAATGGTTTGGAGCCAAATATCTGGACAATCCAGTTGAAAAATGTGTACCCTAGCATTCTAAACTCTAACAGCCCTGATTAAAGCACATTTATCTTTTGGATGTTTTAGAGGCAGTACTCCTTCAGCTAAATTCTACTTTGTGAGACTGAACTATTTCCAAAGCATTGGCAAATCCTTTGTATCAGCAATTCAACTCTTCTACGTTGCAGCTTAGAAGTGCAGTGCTACCAAACAGGTGAGATGCCTTGATAACGTCCACATAGTTAAATATAAATGGAGATTGTACATAAAGTTAAATGCAAAGTGCTCAATATGGAGAAGATACTGGAGAAACTAGGCTTCTCCGACTTCGGCATACTGAAGTTGACAAGAAAGATGTTTGTATACACAGCACCCTGCTCCCAATTCTCTAAGCCGATTAAGCCCAAAGCGCAAAGTTGTTCAGAGGCCTGCCCCTTGGTCTAGAAATTCACAGGACTGCATGAAACTTCGCAATGCAGGGAATCTGGCGGCAGATTCCCACGCGTATCCCGGAAGAAAACAACATCCTGTCTCCTGCACCTCACCATCTGCTCCTCCCCATCTGGAGACAGCATTCCATTGCTCACCATGTTGTTGTTGTCCAGCTCGCCAAAGCTCTCAGTTCATCATCTCCTAGCAGCAGCAACTTTACCGCAACACAGGAAACCACTGGTGCCAGCTCCTGGGTAAAATCAGCGAAATCGAAACGGAATGTGGATGCCCGGAAGAGGCCTGCACGACTTCTGACTGGCAGGTCATCTGGAGAGCCTGATTGGCTAGTGCGGCCTGAGTGACAAGAACACCTCCCACAGGGCTGAAGTGAACTTAAAGAGACAGCACAGAGGTTTCTGGTCATTCCATCCACCTGAGTCAAAGATCTTTTCTTGATTGGCCGAGATATGCATTTCAATAGCACTTGCCCCTGGCTATAAAAGCAGACTCCACCAAAATCTTGCACTCCATAGGAACTTTCCCTTTTTCCTCCAGGACACAATGTGGCTAGCTGGCCTGTACTGTGCACTGTGCTGTGCTAGGTGGGTGCAGAGATTCCCTGTCCCACAGGGGGAAGAATGCCCAGAATATGAAGTTAAAGAGAATTTTAAAGTCACAAAAGGAGATGATTGTTCATGCTTCTTGCTGAGGTCGGATGAAATGAAGATGCTTTAAACAAGGTTTTCACAGATATTTCACACAACAGAAAAAGAGAAAAGCAGGAGCCAGGTCTCAAATAAGATGATAGGTCTTTCCCCCATCAAAAGGCTGGATGATGACTCCTTTGCTTTATGGGTTTTATTACTGAAACTCGAGGCAAACTCCAGGAAAATAAATAATAATAAAAAGAGCAGTGATCGTAGAAATGTGAATACGTAGAGAATAATGGAGCTGGAAGGAATGTCTTCATGAGCACTGTTGTTAGCCAGCACATCATCCTCCATGTGATGATCAGGTCAGGTGAATAAAATATACAACTGCAGTATTCAAGATTCTCTTCATGAACAGGACATGTAGAATGAAGCTCAACAGGTACATAAAAAGTGGGCTTATTAGAATGTCTCACAAGCTGTGTTTTAGGTTGTCTAAAAACATCTACTTATAAATGACAATTGAAGAATCCAGTAGATTGCTTCTCAGCCTTTTCCCAAAGATCAAGTGAAGAATCCAGTAGTTGTTCAGCCCATGAGGCTTGATGTCTAAGCCAGTTTTAAGTATTCACCAAAATTTCAAAGTAGTCTCTAGTACTAGTAAAGGAATAAGCTTGGTAGCCAGAGCAAGATGACAAAAAAAGAGACTTTTTTACTTCAATATACTCTGTATATAATTGCTGCTACTGGAAGGTAAGAAAATTATAGTTAGATCATAGTCTTGTTTGATCAGATTTTCTTTTTTGGTGATTTCAAGACAGAATTTTTCTGTGTAGGTGTGGAACTAATTCTGTAGGCCAGACTGGTCTCAAACTCAGAAAATTCCAGTGCCTTGTGTTAGGCCCAGATTATGATCCCCAGAGAGAGACCACTAGAGAGGCCCAGACTGTAATAAGCAAGGTTTCATCAGCCTAATACAGACATGTTCAGAACTCATCTTCATCCCCCTTACAGCAAGGTAGAGAGGAGTTGTATATCCTCTGTGGGGTAAGCTTTTAAAGACATAACTACAAAGAGAATCTTTGAAGCTGCTTTGTCATGGGAGCAAGGACTTTTGCTCTCTCCCATTCTGTTAGGTCAGCTTTCTCCTTGTTCTTAGGGCAAAGTCACTGTTCTTGAGTAAGGCCATCTTTATAAGCCAGTACCAGGTGGCTGGCTGGGCTGAGCTAAGTGACCTTGTGATCGGTATCTCCTGGGTGGGACAGGGGAAGGCCACTACCTTCCTGGGTAAACATTCTGCTAGGAAATTTCTTCTTACCCCTTTGTGAATGAAAGGTGAGGGTTCCACATTACCCACTTCTCTTGCTCCTAAGATCAATCATGAGCTGGTTTTGCTACCTTTGGCCAAATTGTCTTTTAGAATAACAGAGTCATTTTTTAGGTTTTTTGACTTAGCATTTTAACAGGGATTATTGTACAATGTATTCCTTTAACTGCTTCTAGCTAACTTTAGGGTGTCATTGTCAAGGGTTAACAAAGGTGAAATGCTAGTCAAAAAGAGAAAATTTTAGGAACATTTGGTTTGTGGACTTTGTTGAAGAGCCAGAGAGTATTTACATCGATTAGACTGGTCCACATCAGTTTTTAATAAGTCCACAGTCCACAGTCATTTGGAGCAGGTTGTAGTCAGCAATTGACGCTTGTTTGTGTCTGCCAGCCAAAGCAAAACCTGTTGAGACAAATTTAAACTAGGAACAGGAGTTTATACATTTGAAACTTATAGTCCCATATTAAAATTCATATTATAAAAAATAGCAAATAACAGATACCTATAAAACAGTAAAAATAGACTTATACATTTGAGTCTCGGCAAAAACACAGAAAATTCTGAGGTTGTAATCCAAATAGTATATAGTCATTGTTTTATTGTTTATGAACTTTTATATCCTCAGACCTTTATATATAATGAGCTAACAAGCTGGCTATAGCTTTGTGTAAGGATCTGGATATCCTTTTTGCTCTTAAATTGATATTATAGCTGGTCTAGCCATTAATACAATCAGAGATCTTAGAAGGATAAAAAATTATACTTAAGTACAGACAAAACAGAAAAATGACAGAAACCAACCCATATACAGTCATACGCAGGTCTCCATAGCATTGGAGGCAGCAGTATCAGAACAGCCGGCTTTACCAGACCCATATGGTGATTGGTTTCTGTGGAAGAGGGACAAGGAAAAGACTGACCTTATTTTGTCTAGGCAAAAGTGGTGCAATCAATTCTCCAAGTCCTACTGTGTGTTCAGTCTGGCCTGGGTCCTGGCAGCCAGTGCTGCACTGGGGGTCATCTTTCCCAGTGGTCAGCATTGTTGTTATCCAGGAGAAGACATTGTGGTGTCCCATAGTCTTCTTTGGAGACCTTGGGACACTGTTAGGATCTCAGAGTCTCTGTCTGAAACAAGCTTTTCAAATTTTATATTAAATGCCATTTTTTATAGATCTCTGAAGTATGTAGGGTTGTTTAGGTATCTCTGATTAGACAGACTTCACTTTAAATTACTTGTGTTAAGCTTTGAAACATACATAGGGCACTACATAAGGCTTTCCCCTGCATTTATATTAGTACTTTGAGGATGACTGATTATTAATTTTAACAGACCAGATTATATACAAAATTTTTGTCAGATGGAACTTTTAAATTAATGATTTTAGCAAAGACAGTAAGACTAAAATCTAAATATTAACAATATGAAACATTTTATAAGCATGTATGTTTTATAACCTAATTTATTGTAGCTGATGCTTTTGGTGACTATCACTTGGCATTGGTGTTTTTTTTCTGGTAACTTTTCTTTGGGTGTCTATTCTTAGTGGTAACTGACATTCTTGTATATCAATAAAGAACAGCATAAAACAGTCTTTAACATTATCTATATCAAAAAGACATTTAAATTTTTGCAAACCCAAATCTAATGACCAGAGCTCAGAGAAAAATTACAAGTTCTAAACTTATAATTATCAAAGGCTAATTATTTTTTTAATTTTTATTTTTTCATTCAATTATTTACATTCCTTCCCTCTTCCCAATTCCCTCCCACTCCCCCCCACAACCCCTCATCCCTCTCCCACCTGGCTTGAGAGAGGGCAGGGAGCCCTGCACTTTAGGAAGTCCAAGGCCCTCCCCCACTACATCCAGGTCTAGTTAGCTGTGCATCCATATAGACTAGGGTCCCAAAAAGCCACAACATGCAAAGGCTAATTCTTTAACAAAACAATCATACAAATTTTTTTGAGAGATAAACATGACTTTTTAACAAAACAAATGAGTTTTGAAAAAAACTGAATTAACCATTAATCATTTAGATACAGGAAATTACAGCAAACATCTTTTGGCCTTTTATATTTTTTTCTATATCTTTTATGACTTTTTATATACCTTTTATAATTTTTTATAACCCATATTTTTTTCCTGGGGAAACAAACGTATTTTTAGAAATAATGTATCTTTTATTTATTTTAAAATCAACAATTTTTAAAGTGACAGGTTAGTATAATTTAAAACTTCTTATAAGCAATATCAGGACAGGAAAGGGTTCAGACAGGAAACTGCTGGCCAGCAGAAGAGACCTTGAGTGTTATCATACTGAAGAACTCTGCTTAGAAAAGAAAAGAGGCCCAGAGAGTGTCCTTGGCTGCCAAAGCTTTTTTAAAAGAGTTTTTGTTAACATTATTTTTGCCCATGATCTCAGATTCTCTGTTTTACATTTACCCAGTTTTGTAATTGCAAGCAGCCAAATCCCTGTCACCCACATGCATGTCCCTCTCTCCTGTCTAAGGCAAAGACCCTCAAGATTCAGAGAGAGAACAAGGGAGAGGGGGCTGCCCTGTTCTGCTGCAGTCAGCCTCTCTCAGTCACTAGCTCCACCACCTGCCTTCTGAAGAGGCATTCCCCTGCCCTCAGCCCAGTGAATGATGACTTTGGCTCCTTATCTCTCCCAGGTGCCTCTGCTCAGGGGCCTTGAAGCCCTGCAGGCCCCAAACATCCTCTGCCGTGTTGCATTTTCTAGTCTCAAGGCTTAGCTCTCAGCATCCAGGCAGTGTATTCTCTGCCATCAGACCTGGATCAGGGCTAGGGATACAGACCCTAGATGGGCTGCTGTCAAGTCATCTGCATTTTTACATTTAAGTTTTGTCTTATTTTTTTTTAGTCCTTGTCAGTCCAGTCTTAAACATAATAAGCAAAGTGACAACAGTTTTCCAGAACTCCAGGGGATCACCATCCACCCGATGTAGTGGCCCCAAACACATTCCAAGTCATAGGCAAGCACTCCCTACCCTCTCCTCACCCAGTTCCTTTTGCATGCTCTCCCAGATTTTGCCTCTCTCCTCTCCATCCCTAAGGGCTTGGGCTGCTGGGAGGGGACTGGGACTCCAGAGGAGCTTAAGGACCCTCAAGGATAGAAGTTGAGAGAGAAAGAAAACAAAGCCACAATTACCATAACATAACACAAAGAGACTTTGACAAATTCCTGGGACAAGACACACAGTGACATTTTCTCCCATGGTGGGAGAAACCCAAACAGCTGTCTTTGAGGTAGCTGCAAATGACCCAGGGACAGGAGAAAGCTGGCCCTTGTCTATTGA